GAGACTAGTCACGAGGGAGCATTCACCAAATTCAACTTCAATAACAAAAACATAAAGTGGGACCAAGTAAACCAAGTCCTAACCGATATAAGCTGGGAAGATATACTAAGCAACACAGACCCCAACTTATGCCTAGAACAGATTAACTCGGTGGCACTCGATGTATGCACAAGGCTTATTCCTCTAGAAAAAGGAGGAGTAGATGTAAAATAGAAAGAGACAGGCGCTCCCTTTACAGGCGACGGAAAAGAATAACAGAGCGGCTAAAAGAGGTCAATATATCTGAAATGCGTAGGGAGACACTGGTCAGAGAAATAGCAAGCATCGAACTTAAGCTAAAAGAATCCTTTAGGAGTCAGGAATCGCGGGAAGAACTAAAAGCCATAAATAAAATCGGAAGAAACCCAAAGTATTTCTTCTCCTATGCCAAATCAAAATCGAGAACAACGTCCAGTATTGGGCCCCTACTTAAACAAGATGGGTCCTACACAGATGACAGCAAGGAAATGAGTGAGCTACTCAAGTCCCAATATGACTCAGTTTTTAGCAAGCCGCTAACCAGACTGAGAGTCGAAGATCAAAATGAATTTTTTATGAGAGAGCCACAAAATTTGATTAACATTACAAGCCTATCCGATGTTATCCTGACGCCAAATGACTTCGAACAGGCGATAAATGACATGCCCATGCACTCTGCCCCAGGGCCAGACTCATGGAACTCTGTGTTCATCAAGAACTGCAAGAAGCCCCTATCACGAGCCTTTTCCATCCTATGGAGAGGGAGCATGGACACGGGGGTCGTCCCACAGTTACTAAAAAAACAGACATAGCCCCACTCCACAAAGGGGGCAGTAAAGCAACAGCAAAGAACTACAGACCAATAGCACTAACATCCCATATCATAAAAATCTTTGAAAGGGTCCTAAGAAGCAAGATCACCACCCATCTAGAAACCCATCAGTTACACAACCCAGGGCAACATGGGTTTAGAACAGGTCGCTCCTGTCTGTCTCAACTATTGGATCACTACGACAAGGTCCTAAATGCACTAGAAGACAAAAAGAATGCAGATGTAATATATACAGACTTTGCAAAAGCCTTCGACAAGTGTGACCATGGCATAATAGCGCACAAAATGCATGCTAAAGGAATAACAGGAAAAGTCGGTCGATGGATCTATAATTTCCTCACTAACAGAACACAGAGAGCAGTCGTCAACAGAGTAAAGTCCAAGGCAGCTACGGTGAAAAGCTCTGTTCCACAAGGCACAGTACTCGCTCCCATCTTGTTCCTCATCCTCATATCCGACATAGACAAGGATGTCAGCCACAGCACCGTGTCTTCCTTTGCAGATGACACCCGAATCTGCATGACAGTGTCTTCCATTGCAGACACTGCAAGGCTCCAGGCGGACATCAACCAAATCTTTCAGTGGGCTGCAGAAAACAATATGAAGTTCAACGATGAGAAATTTCAATTACTCAGATATGGTAAACATGAGGAAATTAAATCTTCATCAGAGTACAAAACAAATTCTGGCCACAAAATAGAGCGAAACACCAACGTCAAAGACCTGGGAGTGATCATGTCGGAGGATATCACCTTCAAGGACCATAACATTGTATCAATCGCATCTGCTAGAAAAATGACAGGATGGATAATGAGAACCTTCAAAACTAGGGAGGCCAAGCCCATGATGACACTCTTCAGGTCACTTGTTCTATCTAGGCTGGAATATTGCTGCACACTAACAGCACCTTTCAAGGCAGGTGAAATTGCCGACTTAGAAAATGTACAGAGAACTTTCACGGCGCACATAACGGAGATAAAACACCTCAATTACTGGGAGAGCTTGAGGTTCCTAAACCTGTATTCCCTGGAACGCAGGAGGGAGAGATACATGATTATATACACCTGGAAAATCCTAGAGGGACTAGTACCGAACTTGCACACGAAAATCACTCACTACGAAAGCAAAAGACTTGGCAGACGATGCACCATCCCCCAATGAAAAGCAGGGGTGTCACTAGCACGTTAAGAGACCATACAATAAGTGTCAGGGGCCTGAGACTGTTCAACTGCCTCCCAGCACACATAAGGGGGATTACCAACAGACCCCTGGCAGTCTTCAAGCTGGCACTGGACAAGCACCTAAAGTCAGTTCCTGATCAGCCGGGCTGTGGCTCGTACGCTGGTTTGCGTGCAGCCAGCAGCAACAGCCTGGTTGATCAGGCTCTGATCCACCAGGAGGCCTGGTCACAGACCGGGCCGTGGGGGCGTTGACCCCCGGAACTCTCTCCAGGTAAACTCCAGGTACTCCAGGTACATGTACATGGTATACAGACCATAACTGACATCAATGACATATGTACTACCATATAGAAAGCTGCTTGTTATGCTGAGTATTTCGGGCAAATTAGGTCAGTTTTGTCCCAGGATGCGACCCACACCAGTCGACTAACACCCAGGTACCCATTTTACTGATGGGTGAACATAGACAGCTGGTGATAAGATAAGATAAGATAAGATTTCGTTCGGATTTTTAACCCCGGAGGGTTAGCCACCCAGGATAACCCAAGAAAGTCAGTGCGTCATCGAGGACTGTCTAACTTATTTCCATTGGGGTCCTTAATCTTGTCCCCCAGGATGCGACCCACACCAGTCGACTAACACCCAGGTACCTATTTGTTGCTAGGTGAACAGGACAACAGGTGTAAGGAAACGTGTCAAATGTTTCCACCCGCCGGGAATCGAACCCGGGCCCTCCGTGTGTGAAGCGGGAGCTTTAGCCACCAGACCACCGGGCCACACATCCAATGTTTTCACCCCTTCGCCGGGAATCGAACCCAGACCCTCATCGTGTGAAGCGAGAGCTTTAGCCAACAGGCCACAGGGCCCAGCTGATGTCTGCTTGGAGTCTTGCAGTGTCCTCATTGGAGAACTCTGTCATGAAAATTCGAGTGTCATCCACAAAGAAAGGTACGGTGCTGTGGCTTACATCTGTCTATGTCAGATATGAGGATGAGGAACAGGATAGGGATGAGTACTGTGCCTTGTGGAACAAAGCTTTTCACTGTAGCTGCATCAGACTTTGCTCTGTTTACTATTACATGTACTCTTCTTGTTCTATTTGTTAAGAAGCTATAGATCTATCTACCAACTTTTCCGTTATTCCTTTATCATGCATTTTGTGTGCTATTATACCATGATCACACTTGTTGAAGGCTTTTGCATAATCTGTGTATACTACATCTTCATTTTGTTTGTCCTCTATAGCATCCAAGACCTTGTCATAGTGGTCTAGTAGCTGGGACAGGCAGGAATGACCTGCTCTAAACCCATGTTACCCTGGTTTGTATAACTGATGGTATCTAGATGGGTGGTGATCTTGCTTCTCAGAACCCTCTGTATTAATGTTTTAAATTGATTAAGCGGTAGTAAATTTTTGGGGATTTTTCGAGTCATCTCAAACTGAGTGAATGATTTAGTACAGTGTAGGTATGGTTAATTTTGGAAGACCAGAATATTTTTAAGTATGGCCCTAGTGTACCTGTACCTAAATAAACTTACTTATCTAAATAAACTTACTTACCTTAGGATTAATTTGTCCAACATGCACTACATACAAGTGGCTTTCTTTAGTGTCTATCAGTGTTTTATTATATGTAAGCTACATTATTTGTATCGCATAAAAAATAAAACAAAATTGCATTCACACGGTGCTGCTATTTAAGTTTATTCAGGTACATTACACAAGTTAAGGTTTTATGACGGTTGTACATAGTAACATAATGAAGGTGGCCCGTGGCTTGGTAAACAACACTCTGGCTTTACACGCTGAGTGTCCAGGGTTCAATCCCCGGCAAGGGTGAAAACATTGGTCGTGTTTCCTTACACCTGTTGTCCTGTTCACCTAGGAAGCAAGTAGGTACCCGGGTGTTAGTCAACTGGTGTGGGTTGCATCCTGGGGGACAAGCTTGAGGCCCCCATTGGAAATAAGATAAACAGTTCCTCGATGATGCACTATCTTTCTTGGGTTATCCTGGGTGGCTAACCCTCCATTGTTAAAAATCCTAACATCCTAACATGTGTATAAATTACCCAGGATAAGTGAATAGTCAAAACAACATTGTTACCGAGGCTCATTGTATGGGAGATTAAGTTAGTAAAGATGATGATGATGATGATGATTGATGATTGATGATGATGATGATGATTGATGATTGATGATTGATGATTGATGATGATGATGATGATGATGATGATGATGATGATGATGATGATGATTGATGATGATTGATGATGATTGATGATGATTGATGATGATTGATGATGATGATGATGATGATTGATGATTGATGATTGATGATGATGATGATGATGATTGATGATGATTGATGATGATGATGATGATGATGATTGATGATGATTGATGATGATGATGATGATGATGATGATTGATGATGAATTGTGATGAGATGATGATAGATGATTGATATGATTATGTGATTGAGATGATAGATAGTCCAGTATAGTTTTTGAAGGTAAGTATGTGAGGCATGCATTGTTTCCGACATGACTCCCTGGACAGATTTCATCAATAAAGACTAATTCTGTGAGGGAACAATACATGTTCTGTAATAAGGATTATGAAGACAAATTAGTCATATTATAAAAGTATTAGAGTGGTGTGGCTGCTTCTCTTACACTCACCCGGCAGATATTCCATCCTGAACTGTCTGTATATTTTTTCTGAGAGATTCAAACATGTTCAGTAATTAAAATAAGATATAACAATTGATCAATGATTAAGATGAAGATCGTGGCGAACACTAACTTCCTTTATAACCTAGACTTTAAGTCTCTTTATTAACTAATATTGCACAAAATATACACCGTTTTAATATAGAAGAAGAAATAAAAAAAAACACTGATATAGTTTAAGGAGGAAAATAAGATTGTAGTAAGTGTAATTAGTAGTATAAATATAATGTTTGAGAGAGAATATTTAGGAGAGGTAGACGCATGCGTCACTCTTCCCGCCATATATTCTAACTTCACAATATTATACAATATTTACCACTATTACAGGTATTGTATCATGTTATTATTATTAACAATAATGTGAGAGTGAGTTATAGTTGTGTTGTGATGGTTATGAGTGTTGTGTTGATGAGTTATAGTGAGTTATTGTGAGTTATAGTGTTGGATGACACAGCAGCAGCAGCAGCAGCAACAGTGGTGGTGATCTACCTTCCATTATTACTACACTACAAGCTGCACTGCTGTATAACCCTTGTGGCTTAGCGCTTCTTTTTGATTATAATAATAATACAAGGTGCACTAGTCTACCTTCCATTATCACTACAAGCTGCACTAGTCTACACTGTCTTCACTACTACATCAGAAGCTGCTACAACCTACACTCCCACTACATGATCACTTCAGGTAAGCACTTTAATATTATTGGTGCACCGGGATCATTATATTGTGTCAGTATTGTAGCTGTCAAGACAATATACAGTAATATATATCATATATATCAGGCCTGGTGGCTAAAAGCTCCCGCTTCACTCACGGAGGGCCCGGGTTCGATTCCCGGCGGGTGGAAACATTTCGACACGTTTCCTTACACCTGTTGTCCTGTTCACCTAGCAGCAAATAGGTACCTGGGTGTTAGTCGACTGGTGTGGGTGGCATCCTGGGGGACAAGATTAAGGACCCCAATGGAAATAAGTTAGACAGTCCTCGATGACGCACTGACTTTCTTGGGTTATCCTGGGTGGCTAACCCTCCGGGGTTAAAAATCCGAACGAAATCTTATCTTATCTCTTACCAACTAATACACTTGTTCCTTAACTACTTCCACTTTAGTCATCACTATATCTGACATTTTTGGTAACATATGTAAGAATCTCCAACATTTTCTGTTGTCTCAGAAAAATCTTATATTTAAGAGCACATATAAGAATAAAAGCACACAGCTGTAGGTCTACTGGCCTATGCTAGTCAAGTCAAACTCACACTTACTTATGTACCTGTCCTTGTATTTAAAACTTCCTAAAGTTCTTAATGATAAGGGTAAGCAGATATGTAAGTACATTTAGGTACATTATTATCATACATATAAATTACCAAGGATAATCCCCCCCCCCCCCAAAAAAAAAAAAGTTAACTTATTTCCAAATAAAATACGCAGACTATAACAAACATTAACCCATAAAATCTAAACAGACCACAAATGACTATGTTGCCTGTGGTGTACTAACAACATTCTAAGACCCATTGATGACAAACATCAATATGAAAAGTAAGTAAGTAAGTTTATTCAGGTATACACAAATACAGTTACATAGAATTATCATACATAGCAGCATATGTGTAGAGAACCTGGGATAACCAAAAAAGTCAGTGACTTATTTCCATTGTGGTCCTTTAAGTAATATAGGGCTTAATAACTAAAGAATTTATTAAACTATATATCAGTCCTCACCAAACAATAAGAAAGTCCAAGCATCTGTAATATTGTAATATTATAATATTGTAATAGATTCACTGAAACGAGAGATGTAAAAAAGACCTGGAAGACAATAATTTTATTTTAGTATGATACATGTTTGTACAAAAGTGTAACAAAAGTCCCTTTATATGCAGACCATTTTGGGCAAACTTAAAACTAACTTAAGATTAATAAGGCAATAACAGTGCTATAATTGTACATATGGTCATTAGGTGAGTTACAGTGAATTTAAGAAAATTTAATATTTCAACTAGTTAATGCTATATGGCTTTAATAAGTTCAGTAGAGAAGAATTACAGTTTTGATATAGTATATAAGAAATACAGTATTATTACAATTTAGCACAATTTAAACAGTGAAATTGAAACAATTATAAGTTTGAAGTAATGATTAAATAGTTGAGCAATCATCAAGCACAATATACAATAATAAAATTGAAACAGTTGTAAGTTTGAAGTAAATGATCAAATAGTTGAGCAGTCATAAATTACTTAGGAGTTTTTTGAGAAACTGGTAGATGTTAAGTATAGTGTTTGTCTGGTTAATTTTGAGTGATGAAGCGATTTCTAAGTAGGACCTTAAATTGATTTGTAGACAGGGGCCCTTTAGTGTGTTCTGGCAAAGAATTCCAGATCTTTGGGCTGAACAAAGCTATAGATATTGTTCTGACTAAATCAGATGAACTGCAACTCGAGCCTATTGATACAACTGACAAGATAATGACTTCTTCTAAACCATACCTGGAGTTTACCTGGAGAGAGTTCCGGGGGTCAACGCCCCCGCGGCCCGGTCTGTGACCAGGCCTCCTGGTGGATCAGAGCCTGATCAACCAGGCTGTTGCTGCTGGCTGCACGCAAACCAACGTACGAGCCACAGCCCGGCTGATCTGGGACTGACTTTAAGTGCTTGTCCAGTGCCAGCTTGAAGACTGCCATGGGTCTGTTGGTAATCCCCCTTACGTGTGCTGGGAGGCAGTTGAACAGTCTCGGGCCCCTGACACTTATTGTATGGTCTCTTAACGTGCTAGTGACACCCCTGCTTTTCATTGGGGGATGGTGCATCGTCTGCCAAGTCTTTTGCTTTCGTAGTGAGTGATTTTCGTGTGCAAGTTCGGTACTAGTCCCTCTAGGATTTTCCAGGTGTATATAATCATGTATCTCTCCCTCCTGCGTTCCAGGGAATACAGGTTTAGGAACCTCAAGCGCTCCCAATAATTGAGGTGTTTTATCTCCATTATGCGCGCCGTGAAAGTTCTCTGTACATTTTCTAGGTCGGCAATTTCACCTGCCTTGAAAGGTGCTGTTAGTGTGCAGCAATATTCCAGCCTAGATAGAACAAGTGACCTGAAGAGTGTCATCATGGGCTTGGCCTCCCTAGTTTTGAAGGTTCTCATTATCCATCCTGTCATTTTTCTAGCAGATGCGATTGATACAATGTTATGGTCCTTGAAGGTGAGATCCTCCGACATGATCACTCCCAGGTCTTTGACGTTGGTGTTTCGCTCTATTTTGTGGCCAGAATTTGTTTTGTACTCTGATGAAGATTTAATTTCCTCATGTTTACCATATCTGAGTAATTGAAATTTCTCATCGTTGAACTTCATATTGTTTTCTGCAGCCCACTGAAAGATATGGTTGATGTCTGCCTGGAGCTTTGCAGTGTCTGCAATGGAAGACACTGTCATGCAGATTCGGGTGTCATCTGCAAAGGAAGACACGGTGCTGTGGCTGACATCCTTGTCTATGTCGGATATGAGGATGAGGAACAAGATGGGAGCGAGTACTGTGCCTTGTGGAACAGAGCTTTTCACTGTAGCTGCCTCGGACTTTACTCTGTTGACGACTACTCTGTGTTCTGTTAGGAAATTATAGATCCATCGACCGACTTTTCCTGTTATTCCTTTAGCACGCATTTTGTGCGCTATTACGCCATGGTCACACTTGTCGAAGGCTTTTGCAAAGTCTGTATATATTACATCTGCATTCTTTTTGTCTTCTAGTGCATTTAGAACCTTGTCGTAGTGATCCAATAGTTGAGACAGACAGGAGCGACCTGTTCTAAACCCATGTTGCCCTGGGTTGTGTAACTGATGGGTTTCTAGATGGGTGGTGATCTTGCTTCTTAGGACCTTTTCAAAGATTTTTATGATATGGGATGTTAGTGCTATTGGTCTGTAGTTCTTTGCTGTTGCTTTACTGCCCCCTTTGTGGAGTGGGGCTATGTCTGTTGTTTTTAGTAACTGTGGGACGACCCCCGTGTCCATGCTCCCTCTCCATAGGATGGAAAAGGCTCGTGATAGGGGCTTCTTGCAGTTCTTGATGAACACAGAGTTCCATGAGTCTGGCCCTGGGGCAGAGTGCATGGGCATGTCATTTATCGCCTGTTCGAAGTCATTTGGCGTCAGGATAACATCGGATAGGCTTGTGTTAATCAAATTTTGTGGCTCTCTCATAAAAAATTCATTTTGATCTTCGACTCTGTCTGGTTAGCGGCTTGCTAAAAACTGAGTCATATTGGGACTTGAGTAGCTCACTCATTTCCTTGCTGTCATCTGTGTAGGACCCATCTTGTTTAAGTAGGGGCCCAATACTGGACGTTGTTCTCGATTTTGATTTGGCATAGGAGAAGAAATACTTTGGGTTTCTTTCGATTTCATTTATGGCTTTTAGTTTTTTTTTTTTTTTTATTATCACACCGGCCGATTCCCACCAAGGCAGGGTGGCCCGAAAAAGAAAAACTTTCACCATCATTCACTCCATCACTGTCTTGCCAGAAGGGTGCTTTACACTACAGTTTTTAAACTGCAACATTAACACCCCTCCTTCAGAGTGCAGGCACTGTACTTCCCATCTCCAGTTCTTCCCGCGATTCCTGACTCCTAAAGGATTCTTTTAGCTTAAGTTCGATGCTTGCTATTTCTCTGACCAGTGTCTCCCTACGCATTTCAGATATATTGACCTCTTTTAGCCGCTCTGTTATTCTTTTCCGTCGCCTGTAAAGGGAGCGCCTGTCTCTTTCTGTTTTACATCTACTCCTCCTTTTTCTTAGAGGAATAAGCCTTGTGCATACATCGAGTGCCACCGAGTTAATCTGTTCTAGGCATAAGTTGGGGTTTGTGTTGCTTAGTATATCTTCCCAGCTTATATCGGTTAGGACTTGGTTTACTTGGTCCCACTTTATGTTTTTGTTATTGAAGTTGAATTTGGTGAATGCTCCCTCGTGACTAATCTCATTATGTCGGTCTGGGGCTCCGCGCATACATGACTGAACCTCAATTATGTTGTGATCTGAGTATATTGTTTTTGATATGGTGACATTTCTTATCAGATCATCATTGTTAGTGAAGATGAGGTCTAGTGTATTCTCCAGTCTAGTAGGCTCTGTTATCTGCTGGTTTAAATTGAATTTTGTGCAGAGATTTAAAAGCTCGCATGAGTGAGTTTTCATCAGAGCTGCCTCCTGGTGTTATTACTGCAACAATATTATTTGCTATATTCCTCCATTTTAGGTGCCTTAAGTTGAAATCCCCCAGGAGCAAGATGTTGGGTGCAGGAGCTGGAAGGTTTTCCAGACAGTGGTCAATTTTTAACAGCTGTTCCTGGAATTGCTGGGATGTTGCATCGGAGGCTTGTAGACTACCACAATGACTAGGTTTTGGTTCTCGACCTTTACTGCTAAAACTTCCACTACATCATTTGAGGCATTTAGCAGTTCTGTGCAAACAAGTGACTCTGCAATGTACAGGCCAACCCCCCCCCTTTTTCCTGTTCACTCTGTCACATCTGTATAGGTTGTAACCTGGGATCCATATTTCGTCTTGCCAGTAAAATTCCAGGCACCAGTACTGGAGTGAGTGGTGACCTGGGTAGAAACTTCTCAGTATCCCTCAGTCTTCCACCAACCATGCCCACTGAAATCACCATGATTAAAAATAAATCGGGAAATCTTGCTCATGCCTCACCACTATTGTTCAAATGAGTGGCTCATGTCCTTTTACCCACCATTACATTACTCTTTAATAATTCACTAGAAACCAGTACTTTCCCAGCAGTTATACCAATACACGAAGATGGAGACCCAACAGATGTAAACAACTGGTTGTACAAAAATGGTATAAAATACTGACAAGATGAAATTGACACATGTGCAACATCTGGGTATCTTTATTGTAGACGTTTCGCCATCCAGTGGCTTTATCAATACAAATTCCAGGACATAATTTGAAGATAGTAGAACTACATGTATGTACAGAAGATGTAAACACCTATACATCACTATCAAACTTGCCTTTACTATCCAAATTCTTTGAGAAACTCGTACACAAGAGATTATACTCCTTTATAACATCACAAAGCATTCTCAACCAGTGCCAGTTTGGCTTCAGGAGAAACAAATGCACAAACAAATTCCAGGGTTCCACTGTACTACAGGGCCAACACTGGCTTCACAGCCGTTATATAATGGGACTGACACTGAAAGGATTAAACCCGACTCCTAAGGTGACATAATAATAGTGATAATCATTATTTCTACAAAGTACAACATACTATTGATTGAGGAATAGTTGATGTTAATGACATACTTGAAAGAGAGTCCCTGCTTATACACAACATTTTAGGCAGCCTAAAAATTAACTTATTACTACTGGATGGGATTGATAAATTTGGTTTACACGAATGATAAAGATTTAAAACTTAGAAATTAATTTTAACACTTTGGTTTACGATTGATATTTTGGGAATTTTTTGTAAAACAGTTTGTTGGAATTTTTTGGAAAATAAATTGTTATAATGTTTGTATTGATTCCTACAAATATTGGATAAATACCATACGAATTTACTTTGCAGTATTACTGAAGGCCCATAGAATGTATAGCATCTCAGACAAGACGTAGATGATAAAATACTGTACTTGAAGTATACTTTTTATTTATTTTTCAATGAAGCTTTATTAAAATAAATGCAAGTAACAGATTAGTTCATAAAAATCACAATAAAAAAACATAAGGTAATTGTCTAGTTTAGTAGGGTGAATGTTACTAACTGCTTGAATTACAATACAAAATACGAGATAGTATATGACTACTTTATATGGAAGTGATAGATAAAATTACTGATACAAGAACTTCTGTATAAAGATTGTCATCAGTTTTCTTGTTGGATATTAAGACACTACACGTGTTGATTGCTGATGCAGAAAAACTGATTTATGTATGAGGCCTGAAAATGTATCCAAGGAATTAAATAAAATACTGTATTGAGGGGAAGTGGCTCCCCCCTAACCCCAGCCCATTCATCTTGTGGAAGGTAATTTATTGTATGTTGTAAGCCACTAGCAGCAACAGTCTGGTTGATCAGGCAGTCAAAAGGAAAAGGGTCATTCTATATCAAGTGGATCAGGGGTCCCCACCTGACCATCTCCAATTTCAATAAAATTTTACATGAAGGTTGGCACATATGTCGTATTAACTTTGGGAAAGTTTTAGTTCATAATATGCAACGGTAGTAATGCTATGGCCCTCAGAGTGGAGGCAGGTGAAAATTTCACCAACCCACAACACGCAATCGGCAATATTCAGGTTACTGCTGTGGCAGATCTTGAAGAGTAAAAGTTGTGTAAGTAGACATGCCTATGCAACTTTTGGGGAACACCTCAATTCTATAAGTTTTTTAGCTTATTTTGATTAATTAACCTCAGCTATGGCTTCTAAGGGGGATGAGAGGGAGGCTGGTGGTGTCAAACTTAAATACCGGTCCATATCAATTCAAGAGAAAGTTGAACTGTTGAGAAAACTGGACCATGGTGCTTCAGTGCGTAAAATCTGTGAAGATTATGGTCTTGGTAAATCAACTGTTTATGTTGACCAAGGTGACCACCTCTAGTCTGGAAACATCAGCAATCCAGAAAAGCTTGGGAACCAAAGGTTCCAGAAAATTGATGTAGCACTTGTAATGCTGTAATCCATTTTCAAATATTTGTGAGATTTCTGATGAGTAGCATTATGTGCTGGTCAGCTTCATGCATCCTCATGGTCCAGCTCAATCATTCTATTGGCCAGCATGAAATGACACCTACTGGGTTCCAGATCATATTTCCAATATTCCAGCACACGAAAATCACTCCATATGAAAGCAAAAGACTCGGCAGGAGATGCAGCATTCCCCCCGATGAAAAGCAGGGGTGCCATGAGTACACTGAGAGACAACACAGTAAGTGTCCGGGGCCCAAGACTGTTCAGTTGCCTACCAATAGACCCCTGGCTGTCTTCAAGAAGGCACTGGACAGGCACCTAAAGTCAGTACCTGACCAACCGGGCTGTGGTTCGTACATCAGCTTGTGTGCGGCCAGCAGTAATAGCCTGGTTGATCAGACCCTGATACACCATGAGGCCTGGTCTCAGACTGGGCTGCGGGGGCATTGACCCCAGAAACCCTCTCCAGGTAAACTCCAGGTAAATCATCAGCAACATCAATGGGATGACAATATTGCCTGGTGCCAGCAACCATGTCCAACATTGATGAAAAATTTTCTGTTGCCATGAATTAAGAAACAGCTATGGCTTGGAAAGTAGAAAGAAGCCCAAATTCAGGCTTGGGATTTTGTGGCAAAGAAACCTGTTTGAGGCTTTGGATCCTGTGGAAAAGTGGCCCACCACCCATGGTTGTTATTGCACGGCTATTGTGGTGTGGCCACTAAGCGATGGGGTTACCAATTTTTTAAGAATTGGTTGTGCACAGCCAACACTGACCAATGCAACATTAAGGTTCTGTCGACAGTCAGCGAGCTCAAAATCTGCCATCACAGCTGTTATGACACTTTTTTGGCAACTTTGAAGCTTAATTTGCAAAATAAATATCGGTCCTCATCCATTCAGATAATTTCTGAAATCATCACTGAAAATTACATAAGTATACCGAAACACGAGGTTCTAGCTGTTGTTGCTCTATAACAGCAGCAACTAAAAAATGCCTGGTTTTCATTATAATGTTGCACAAGCCAAAAATCTCCTTATTTTAAGACATGTTTTCTCCTTTCAAGGGCAAAATGCCTATCAAGAAAATAGATATCTTGTAGTTTAGAATCTGCTCTTTCTAATGAAGGTTTTTCAGAAAATTGGTTGTGCTGCTTTTTTGGTATTGGTCTTCAAAAAGGGCCTAAAATTCACCGTGAGGTCTGTGAGGGCATGTTTAGGTACCATTAGCACAGGAACTAAAAACGTTTGGAGTCTCACATTTTAGGATCGTGACAATGTCCACTTGAGTAGCTGGCTACAATGTCATACTAAAATAATGTTTTCCTTTATAGATATAGGCAGCTGTATTCAAGATTCAGTTTTATGCGACTTTTTTTTTTTCCCTACTTTGGCTTCATACTGTAAAAATAAGTAAAACTATGCGAGTTTTAGGATTGTGATTTTTTTAAAGCAGCTCCAAAAGTTGCATAGGCATGTCTACTTGCACAACTTTTACTCTTCAAGATCTACCACAGCAGTAACCTGAATATTGCTGATTGTGTGTTGTGGGTTGGTGAAATTTTCACCTGCCTCCACTCTGAGGGCCATAGCATTACTACTGTTGCATATCATGAACTAAAACTTTCCCAAAGTTAGTATGACATATGTGCCAACCTTCATGTAAAACTTTATCAAATTTGGAGATGGTCAGGTGGGGACGATCTTCAAAATTGGTCCACTTGACATGGAATGACCCAAGTGTGTGATCTCAGGCCAGGCTGTGTTGGTTGAAGTACTCTTGAAACCAATCACAGGTAAGGGCTAGGGCGAATCTCTTAAACAAAAATTTAAATAGACCTTATCAAGGAATGTCAGATTTTTCAGCTCAGGAAATTAAATGGCTTATTAGAACTTCAAATTATTTCAACTTTAACTAGAGTAAATCTAATCTAAAACAGCAATTTAACATGACTTTGAACCACTGTGGATATTGCTTGGCACTTGCAATGATTTAACTTGTATTTTCTAGCTGAATAGAAAAGATGCATGTTGCAGAACAGGTTTTCCTTGGGATAATATTTAGTTCCCTGTCACAGAGCTTCATCACAAAGCAAAACGTTGCAGTAAAATTTTGTTCTGCGGCACATATCATTTCTTCACTATTGTTGGCAGTATGCTGTTTAATCTACCTTTTCATTTGTTGAATGCCGCATGCATCATCAACCAGTAAACTGAGAAACATTTAAAATGCTTTATTTTAAAATCAAAATAAATAGCTTGGGATTGTAATATAGTATAGTATATTTAGTTCTTCAGTTTGTCAATTTAAGACAGTTGCACTTCCTCATAGTACAGTATGATTTTTAGACATGTAATAATACCTGTACTATGCTATACTCTAAAATGTACCCTATCAGGATCATGTATTAATAGTGTTCATCTTTACAGGTTGTTAAGGAAATCATGGATGGCCTTGAAAGGCTCTTGGGCAAATTGCCACCAGTTCTTCCAAGTCTTAAGGAACAAATTGAAGAATATCTTTTAATTCCTGAGAAGCTTCCAATCCATGACCCTGTTCATTCCCGCCGATGGTTTCCCAGGCATCCAGACCCAACTCGTCTCTTTAGCATTTCTTTGTTTCCTTCAAGAACTTGTCTTGAAGTAGAGCGAGACCCTGCCACTGGAGAAATTACTGGACTCCGTGAAATTGCAAATGAGGATGCTGGAGCTACAGCGAAAAATTCCCTCTCCATGAGGCGTGCCCCTGGGCCTCCGGAGGAGGTTGTTAGGGGTTCTTCAACTAACTTTCCTTTCTGGCCAGGAGGGTTTCCAGAGCCATTTCTGCATAAGGAGTCAGTTGAGGGAGAATTTCAACTAGATAAAAGTAATTATCTCCTAAAGCATCCAAGACTCTCTCGAGGAATGACCTTTGAAGAACCAGAGAAAGAACTGGAAGAGGAGAAAGAGGAAGAGAAACCAGCTCAGATGGCACCTGAGTTAGTTGTTAGCATAACAGATATGCTGAAAGTGGATGAAAGTGTACTTAAAATTTTTGATGAAAAGGAAGAAAATGTTAAAAGGAAAGAAATTACTTTGACCTTGGAAGGGTTAAATGAAGAAGATACCTCACTTGTCACCAATTTCAACATTGAACCGCCACCTAAAAAGGATGAATTTGTGTTAAATATAAGTGACAAGTCAAAATCTACAACTGTAGTGGTAAATACAGAGTGGGCAGAAAATGTTGACATAAATTCACCAGTCGATGATTTTAATTTGCAGGTTCCCAACCCTGCTTGCACGTATCCATTTGAGCTTGACATATTTCAAAAGCAAGCAATTTTGCATTTGGAAAAGCATGACTGTGTGTTTGTAGCTGCACACACTTCAGCAGGTAAAACGGTGGTTGCAGAATATGCGATTGCATTAACATTGAAGCATATGACTCGGGCAGTTTATACTTCTCCAATCAAAGCACTTTCAAATCAAAAGTATAGAGATTTTAAAATTAAGTTTGATGATGTGGGTCTTTTGACAGGAGACATTCAAATCAACCCAAAGGCATCATGTTTAATCATGACAACAGAAATTTTACAGTCTATGCTGTACAATGGTAGTGATCTGATAAGAGATTTAGAGTGGGTTATCTTTGATGAAGTTCACTACATTAACAATGCTGAAAGAGGCCATGTATGGGAGGAAGTACTAATAATGTTACCCAGTACAGTAAATATTGTGTTGTTGTCTGCAACAGTACCCAACACAATTGAATTTGCCGATTGGATAGGGAGAATTAAAAGAAGGAAGATATACGTAATTAGTACCAGTAAGCGTCCTGTACCTTTAGAGCACTTTCTGTATACTGGCACTGGTGGTAAGACGAAAGATGAACGTTTCTTGTTAGTTGATGCTGGTGGCAAGTTTATTACAAAAGGATACAATGATGCTGTGGCTGCAAAGAATGATAGAAGCAAGAAAAGTCAGCTAAATCAAGGACCAAAACAAGGTAGGCATCATCTGGGGGAAAAGCAGGAGAAGAATATGTGGATTGGCCTTGTTGATCACTTGAGTAGAAGAGATCTGTTGCCCATTGTTGCTTTTACTTTGTCTAAGAAACGCTGTGACAGTAATGCTACACAGCTGATGAGCCAAGACTTGACAACAAATAGGGAGAAAGGAGAGATACACTCATTTATTAAGAAGTGTGTAGACAGACTTCAGGGAACAGATAAAGAATTACCTCAAGTTATTTACATGAGAAATTTATTATTAAAAGGAATTGGTGTTCATCACAGTGGCATTTTGCCCATCCTGAAAGAAGTTGTAGAAATGCTGTTTGCCAAAGGCCTTGTAAAGCTTTTATTTGCAACAGAAACATTTGCAATGGGAGTAAACATGCCTGCAAGATGTGTAGTGTTTGATTCAATCAGAAAACATGATGGAACAGGCTTCCGTGACCTAGTGCCCAGTGAGTATATCCAAATGGCAGGTCGTGCTGGACGTAGAGGTTTGGATACTACAGGAACTGTCATTATTTTGTGTAAAACAGATGTGCCAGAGTTGTCTGACCTTCATCGGATGATGTTAGGGAAGCCCACGAAGCTGGAGTCGCAGTTCAAGTTGACGTATTCAATGATCTTGAACATTTTGCGTGTTGAGAGAATTAGTGTAGAAGATATGATGAAAAGATCATTTTCTGAAGTCTTGAAAATGGTAAATCAGAGTAAATATGAAGAGGAACTGAAGCTTGCTGAAGAAAAACTAAGCAAGGAACCTGAATTTTCTTGCATGATGTGCAAAGATGTGGACGAATATTATGTTACTGCCAAGGAATATGTAGAGCAACGTAAACACGTTTTTAAATTTATTCTTGGATTTCCTAGTGTCATGAAGGTAATGAATCCAGGAAGAATTCTCATCATTTGCCATGACCAGTATCAGTATTACTTGGCCTGCTTGCTGAAAATTGATACTAAAGATAAAAATAAATTAACTGTATTTATTCTTAAGAATAAAGAATTGGCTTCCCTGTCAAAAGAAGAACTTAAATTAAAGGAAGCCTTGGCAGCTTACCTGGAGGATTTTGAGGTTCTGGAAGACACTTCAGAACACACATTTTTGGAAATCACTCCTGAGAGTTTAGCAGCAATCACAAATAAGGTTATCAAGGTAAATGGAGAGAAAGTTATTGAAAACATAAAGAAACGACAAATCCCCAGATTTAGAGATGACCCACCTTCGGAATCTGTTATGGTTGTATTGAATGAGATGCAACGCATGAATGAGTCTGGCGGAGAGAAACTCTCTTACCTCAACTTAATACATGATCTTGGAGTCAAGGAGCTAACAGCAGTATCTCAAATTCATATCCTAGGAATACTGAAGGCAAAAGTTTTGGAACGATCGTGTCTCGAGTGCACACAATTCAGAGAGCATTTCAATCATACTTTTGTTAAGCTAAATCTTCGAGAACAAGTTGGCCGTTTGAAATTCCTTATGTCAGAAGAGGCTTTACAACTACACCCTGAGTACCAAATGAGAATTAAGGTTCTTAAAAATCTTGGTTATATTGAAGATAACAATACTGTAACACTGAAAGGTCGCATAGCATGTGAAATGGGAAACCATGAGCTAATGGTAACAGAGCTAGTACTGGAAAATGTGTTTGCAGAAAGTCCTGTAGAGATCATAGCTGCATTGTTATCTAGCATGGTGTTCCAGCAGAAAAATTGCAGTGATCCAAATTTGACATCTGAGCTCAAAAAAGGAATAAAAAAATTTAAGAGCGTGGCTCAACGTATTGGAGAAGTCCAGAAGGATTGTGGTCTTCCAGAGCCAGTTGGTGACTACATTGATCAGTTCAATTTTGGCCTAACTGAGGTGGTGTATGAGTGGGCCCATGGAATGCCATTTAACAAAATAATGGAGTTGACTGATGTTCAAGAAGGAATCACTGTTAAGTGCATTCAGCGATTAGATGAAACCCTCAAGGATGTGAAAAAAGCTGCTCACATCATTGGTGATCCAAATCTCCGGGAGAAAATGGAGGCTGCATCTACAGCCATAAAAAGGGATATTGTCTTTACTCCTAGCTTGTATACTCAGTAGGGTGAAAGTGATCATAACAGAATTGATGAACCTGCCATAAAAGCTTGTTTACTTGGCATTTCAGTTAATATTTTATTGGCATTTATACAATACCAGTATTTTCCTATACCAGTGATATTAACTAATAAGGTAATCTGTATTTCTACATTATATTTGATTTCCTGCATTCCTGGTTCCTGAACAATACTACTTAGATTTCTAACACTTTTAACTCAGGCCCTCAAAGACTACCGATTCATTTATTTTAATAATAGTGTATATTGTTTTGGTTGACAAGAAGCAGTTTCCATCTCAAATGCAAGAAAGTGTTACATGAAAATATACAGGTAGTCTCACTGGATTTAAATTAATTATTAAAAAATCAATATGGGACAATTACAATGTTGGTATGTGGAATCTAGGAAAAATGGAAAAAAGTGAGATGTTCCTATGTTTATATTTGAGGAATATCCTAAAATAATTCTGTCTTTAGAAACCAAAAAACATGTTTACTGCTTTAAACTTAATAGTAATGATGGGGACTTGGAAGAAAGCTCTTAATATGTTTTCTTTTACATTCCCAATACACACAAGCTCCCCCTAGACTATATATTTTATTTACTCGTTCATTTTCCACTAAGGCGCAGGTTGAACCAATGAAGAAAAGTTCGCCATCATTCATTATCTAACACATCGAGAAATAATGTCCAACTGTATCGCATCATTCCCACCAGAAATGTCACAGCAAAAAAACCATAGTTCCTACCTTCAGCACTAAGTGGTAATTGGTTTTCCAGAATACCTTTATAGATATTACAATACTCAAACTTCAGCAAGAATTCAAATCCCATAAACCACTTTTCTTCACTCATTCCGATCTAATGTGCTTGCTGGGTGCTAAAACCCATACCTCTCAAAACTTCCTTTAAACCATTTTTGTACATTCCTTGCACAGTCCATCTACCCCAGATTTATAAACTCTCTTAATCCCGTTACACTCTTTCTACATGACTAAACCTTCTCAGCAGCACAAATCTTAATATTTTTTTTTTTTTTTTTTTTTTTGCAGTATACAAGTTATGTAATTTACATATAATGCAGACTACACCTAGAAATCGGACATTTTCATTGCCTCGTTAATTCTTGTTGCTTCAGTACTGAAGTGTCGCACTTACAAAAAGTTGTTGGCACCATTCTCATGCAATTCTTTTTTTTTTTTTTTTTTTTCTCATTCCTTCTCCAAATATTTTTCTGTATTCCCATCTCAAATTGCTTGTTGCATAACCCTGCAAACTCTCTTCCCCTCCCCCCAATCTGTTGCTCCCAATTCTGAATTTCCCCTCAAGCACTTGGCAGCAGCAACTATTGACAGCTCCCACTTTACATATGCTTCATTAACTTGTAAGACTACACTTCCCTAATGCAGTTCTATGTCCAGCCCACCTTTACTGAAAAAATACCCTCTTTCACATGCCTGAACCTCAGCCTTGTATAAAAACTCTTTTAAGTTATTTTCAGCATGTTTTTCAACTGCTGTATATTGTGTATTTTTAATGCCTGGCACATCACTTCTCTATCCACCAGTGCTTGTTTATGTGTTTCAGTGATTAACTTGATCCACTTGCCCTTTCTAAATCCACTTTGTTCCTCTGTAGTTGTAACATACTTGACACACTTCTCCACACAGTGCTTAAAATCTTAAACAAAAGAATTAGGCTTGTTATCTATCATTCCTTGTGTACCTTTACTTCTTTCATGAATATATACCCTAAACAGATGCAGCAACCATTTCAAAACTATCCTCAACTACTTTCAGTACAAGTATTTTAAAAATTTCCATCTCATCCTTCCTCTTAACATTCTGTCACACCTTCATATTTGTCTTTTTTTTTCACTTTTTCTTCCTTGTCTTTATAACATATCTTGTTCTTGCCCTACACTTGAATTTTCCCCCTCATTTCATTTACATTTTGTGATCTTTAATGCCTGTAACTTTTTATCCAGCAGCTCTCCACTTTCTTAACTGACAAATTTATTTGCTGATAATGTAGGTCTTTTTTTCATATGGTGTGTACTGCCTTATCAGTTTTTTTAACACCCTGGCCATCTCCCAACAAGGCAGGGTGACCCAAAGAAACACTTTAACCACCATTTACACTATATCACTATCTTGCCAGAGGCATGCCAATATAACAGTTTTATTAGATGTTCCTCTAAACAGCAAATATCTCAAACCTCTCCCACCCTGGGAGGTACTGCTGTCCTTCCAAATATATGTAAGATGGAAACCTGTAAATTGTTTTACATGATGGTAGGAGTGCTAATCTCTTTTTCTGTCTCATAAACACACAAGATAACAGGTGTACTACTACTACTACTACTTGCTAACTACTACTTACTAACTACTACTTGCTAACTACTACTTGCTAACTACTACTTGCTAACTACTACTTACTAACTACTACTTACTAACTATACTACTAACTACTACTTACTAACTACTACTTACTAACTACTACTTACTAACTACTACTTACTAACTACTACTTACTAACTACTACTTACTAACTACTACTTACTAACTACTTACTAACTACTTACTAACTACTACTACTTACTAACTACTACTACAACAACTTAGGTCACACTACACATGCGTGTCATGTATATGTATACATATTCATCTGAGTTTTCTTCTATTTTGTCTTAATAATGCCAGGAGCAGTGGGCTAAGAACCTCTTGTTTAGTTTACTAAAAAATAAGAAGCTTTACATGCTATTAAATCATAATGAGTGATGACAAAATTTGAGGATCACCCCAGTGAAAGACAAATTGAACGTTTGTGCACTTTCATGTGATCAACTGTACATGTTTAAAAGCATATTGCCTAATAAGCATATTTTTATTCATAAGTTCAATGGTTGAATTTTTGTAGCACTATCTACTTAAGTTTAATTTCTACTTTGCTTTCCTCACAGTCAATAATGCAAATGTTTGTGTAAGATTATTGAACAGTTGAGATAAGTTACACTGGAATGGCCAATTTTTTGAGAAGTTGACCTTTAGTTCTTGCATTATAGTAGATAATACTAGATGTAAGATACTGCACATGCAAGTGTTTTTTTTTTTTTTTTTTTTAACCCTTTGAGAGTCCAGGCCGTAGTTCTACACCTTGTCCTCTGGGTCCAAGCTGTAGCTCTACACCACGAGCTCGGCTCACTTAGATAAGCTGTGAGTGGTAAATTTGAGCCTAGATATGAGAGAATGCATCTATATGGTAAGTGTGCACCACATAAAACAAATCCTGCAGCACGCAGTGCATAATGAGAAAAAAAAACTGACCGTGTTATTGGATTAAAACAGCGACTTTGCAGTGTATTTTTGTATGTTTTCTACAATAGTATTCACAGTTTCTTGGTCTCATTTGCTAGAATTACAGAAATAGAGATGATTTTGATTGATTTTATTACCGAAAAATAGCTTGAAATTGAGCTCAAAGTAGTGAAAATTTTAAATTTTTGCCAGTGTTCAAGAGTGAACAAATGGCGTCAAGCGTCCAATACACGTCAACTGGTGGGTCTAATATGCGTCCATAAATGTACTGATGTTATTTATACAATTATTACAATATTGCATATTTTTTGGTGTAAAAAATTCTTTGTGAATAAAAAATCAAAATGGAATTCATCTGTAAAGCCTGGAAACGTAACTAATAAACAGAGGAAATGTTATTTTAGCGCCAGGAATGTCTGCATTGTTTATTCTGGACCCTGTTTTGAAATCAGAATATTTTGAACTGTGTGTGCCTCTTCAAGGGGGGCTCCTTGGCATGGTGAAGAGGCTCTTGGTCTGAGGAATTAGACCTGTCGGTCTCCTTCCCCAGACCGAACCTAATTACCCCCCAATCCCCCCTTCCCTATCCCATCCTCCCCATCCTCCCCTTTTTCCTTTCCTCCTCCCCACCCCTCCCTTTTGCCCTTCCTCTTTTTGACCTTTGGGATTTTTCCCACAGGCACGCTAGTTCCTAGGTAGGGGAAAGGGTACCAGGGTCCATCCCATTCCATTGAGGTTCTTGGCATTGGTGTAGTTTGCCGTGGAATCTGGATCGCCTGGGGATGTCCTGATCCCTCTCCGGTATCCCGGAGGGTGGCTTTGGGTGTCTTTCGGGCGACGGGTGTATCTCTGGAAACCACCTTTTGGATTCGGGGGGTGGTGGTCGAAGGAGGTATGCTTTGTGGCGGATATCCGGCCGCCCTCTCTTTTGTCCACCGAGGTAGCTCGGCAGATGTGAGGTTGCTATCCCGGATTGCTGGTTTACTGGCATGAAGGGTAGGGTATGGCACGGGTTCCATGCTGCATCTGCGCTGCTTGCGGTGCTGAGGTCCTCTTGGGGGCGGAGTGAGATTTCTGGCCCTTTCATTTCTCCTAGGAGCTATCCCTCCCCGGTCCCCCCTTTTTTTTATTTATTTTTTTTATTTTTATTTTTTTTTCTTAAAAGCAAAAAGAAAGGAGTAACCTAACCATGGAGTCCCCAATCCATGACCCCGCTACCCCAGGGCCCCTTATTGTTACCGCACCCCGTTCTGACCTCGCCTCATCTTTTGGCCACTCTTCGGACGCTCCTAAGGCCCCTGTACCTCTTGCTGGTGCTGTTTCGTCACCCGCTTCAGGTGCTGGGGTTTCAATTGACTCCTTCGATTTGTCTGACCTCCACTCTCCTTTGACTATGCTTCCGGCCTCTCCTACGGTGCGGCGATTTTTGAATCGCCAGCTCGTCCCATGTCGGACCAACTCTGGTCCCACTTCTAAACGCCAACGACAATCTCCTGATGATGTTACTTCATTACCTTCCCATTCTACTCGGAAAAGACTGACACGTCATGCACTCCCTCTCCACACTCAGTTTTGGACCACACAATAGACTAAATTCTTTACTTTAAGACCAACTTCTTCGACTGCCTGTCTTTCCGACCATAGTATTGGCAGAGCGCTCCTACACCATGTTGGTAGAGATATTTCCTTTCATGCTCTTAAGAGTGGTACGCTCATTATCACAGTCCAGAATGCTACCCAAGCTCATGATCTTTCTCTTCTTTCACATATTGATACTATTCCTATCACTATCGAAAAACATCATTCCCTCAATACTTGTAGTGGTACTGTTATTCTGCCAAATACCATAGTCCAACAGAATTTCCAGACATGTGGCAATGACATTCTCGAACAGCTGGAACTCCAAGATCTCCCAATTCTCAAGGTAGACACTTATGTTCTTCCTGCCCGTGGGCGGAGACAATACCCTTGCAATGTGACTCGTTTAACTTTTGACAGCCGTGAACTCCCATCCTCTGTTTATGTAGCAGGACATTGGTTACAAGTTTGAAAGGTGATCCCTACACCGCAACAGTGTAGAAATTGCTGGTGATTTGGCCACCCAGTAAAATATTGCAGATCTATAGCCGAATGCCCAGTCGGTGGTGCCGATGACCATTCTAATACGTCTTGCAGTCGACCTCCCTCTTGCCTTAATTGTCATGAGGCTCACCCTTCATACTCTCGCCGTTGCCAGGTCTACTTAAATGAGCGGGAAATTCATTGCCTCAAAGAGGCAGAAGGGCTCCCTTATGCTATGGCAGTTTCTCATCTCCGCCTCCAAGGGAGACTACCCCGTGTTTCTTATTCTCGTGTTTCAAAACGTCCCCCCCACTTTTGGGGTCCCATCTTCTGCAGCCTCTTCTGTGGTTGCCAGTCCTATAGTCACTCCTGTATCTAATTCTTTT